ATTGAAAATATCATGGCTTGGATCAGGTGCACTGTGGTACTCAAGGTGACATCTTTGTACTTTAAAACTTAAAAACGTCTTTTGCTGCAGATTTGCCTAATGTAGTATGTATTCTGATTTACTGACTGCTGCTTCCATAAGCATTGTGAATTAAAGTTAAATCCTTGGCAACTTCAAACAACAAAAATTAAAAAACAAAATAAATAGGAAATATCCTAAATCAGGTACGTACAAAAATTTTAGAAAGCATCTGTTTCTGAAATAAGTTAATGGGCATTATAAACTAAATCAAATGTGAATAAGAACCTAATCTCTATTCTCAGAGTTTGCTCTCTATTAAAATGGGACATATACCACTCGTGCAAATAAAGTGTGAAATAATAGACAAACATCACAAGGAAACATAAAATAAAACACTACTAAACTAGTAAATACCAGAGATAAAAGTGTAATGGGGAAAGGTGTTAGTAAGGGGAAAAGACCACATCTAATTGTATGGATGCATGAGCATTTGAGATCAGTGTTAAAAGCTAGAGGAAGTTTCCAACAGGGGAGATGAGTTGGAAACAGTATTTCAGAGACAGAGAAGAGTGGGCAAACACACAAAGAAAGGAATGCTTAGCAGCCTTTTAATCCTGCATACTCACATGTAGCATAACTGGAATGGCCTGCATTTGGATTGCTGTAGGCACCTGAAAGCCTGCACCTAGGATATTCTGAAGCAGTCGAGAATTGATTTTATATTCCTGGTCAAGTTGCTGAAATGTAGCAATTGGGTCAGGAAGATCAGTTCCTTGGACATGAATTTTGTTTTTATTCCGGAAGAAGTTGATCTGAAAAGTAAAGAAAGAGGCCACCACAGGTATCAGCCAAACACATTATTAAGATGCTATCCAGTAACAGTAATAGCATCTTTCTGGGATAAACTTAACAGTATCTGGCATATTTTGGTCAGTCCCAAGTCCTAAAAAAATAATAGATATTAGGTACATTTCATTCCCTTCCATAAATAGAAGACATTCATAAAAATAAAATATATCCATCCATATTTTCTTATTAAAGTATCACTGACACAAGTAAAGGGAACACAATGGCTCTGTATGATAAGAACTGGACTGTGAACCATAAGGTCTGTGGTTTCAGCTGGCCAGCTGCTCTGCAGGCGAAAGATGAGGCTTTCTGCTCCTGAGATTTAACGCCTCAGAAACCCTATACAGGGTCACTATGAGTCGGAACTGACTCCATGGCACTTAATAACAACAATTACATTGAGGGGGGCAAAAAAAAAAAAAAAGAGGCTGGTGGCGCAGTGATTAAGCACCCAGTTGGTAACTAAAAGGTAAGCAGTTCAAATCCACCAACTACTCTGTGGGGAGAATGATGTGGCATTCTGGTTTCATAAAGACTGGAACCCTATGGGGTAGTTCACCTTGGTCCTGAAGGGTTGCCAGGAGTCGGAATTGACTTGATGGCAATAGTTTTGGCCATGAATAATGTGCTATTCATATCAATGTGTCATATTTACAATTTGAATCTTATATAAACCTTGAGAAGGCAAGCAGTGAATACATCTATTTTCTTCATAAGGAACCTAGCACGCAAGTACAAATGCTTTTGATAATTAACACTAAAACTTAACTATGCAACAGTTTATTAAGAGTTTCAGAAGTGGAGTCTAATGGCATTGATTTACTTTGTTTCCCCATTCTCTAGTCTAGAGATGTCTAAACTGTGGGATCTGGGTTATTGGAGCACTGCCATGGTAATCTCTGAACTAAGCTGAACACACTTCTCCATCAGCAACATGTAAGTAAAACAGCACACTCAGCAACAGCTGTTACTTGTTTCTTCTGTATGTTTTCTCCTTGCTTTTTCCCCAAGTTATAAAAAGGCTTCTTAAGAATCCTAACTCTCTAAGGTCTCCTGGCGTGGCACTGTAGGATCAGCACTAGACTGTAAACAACAAAGTCAACAGTTCAAGACCATCATCTGCTCCTCAGAAACACTATAGAGTGTTGTTATGAGTTGGAAACAACTTGATGGCACTTAACAATAGCTATCAGAGGCACTTACTTCTAAACTAGTGAACTCAACATAAAGAAAAGGGGACTACATTTAATGTTTATCAAAATGGGACTGAGGAGTACAGCCCCAGGCCAAAATTCAACAGCGCCACAAAAGAATGGTGGTTGTGTTATTAAGAAGTAAAAAAAAAAAAAAAAAGTTGAATTTTATGTACACTATCAATTTTTAAACTTGACATATTATCTGTAGCTAAGAAATTAAAACTTTAAAACGTTCAACCACAGCATGTTTTATGCTTCACCACAATAAAATCCAATCCAACTGAATGTAATTCTTCTTCTGGTTTAGCAAACTATATTCACCTTTATCCACAGAATAACCCATACCCAGTGAAAATTTTAGAAAAACATATTTTTGGGATTAAGACATTATTCTGACCTTTTCCTTTCTGAGATGTTCCAATTTTCCTGAAGTTAATTTATTTTCTTCTCTTACTTTTTTATCTTCAATCTTTGCTTCCATAGATGACATCCACTGTATTGTAGTTTCTTCTTCCGGCAAAGTAATTTCTAAATAATTGTTTTTTTAATTAAAAGATTTTAAGGGTGATATTCTTTGGTATAGCAAAGAGGTTAGTACCTTCACACTAAAAAGAAAAAAATACTAGATGATGCAATTAGCTAGGAGACAAAAAGATTAAGAGGTATAAAAATTTTAAAAGAGAGAAAAGTTCTGTGTTGCTAGAATCAGTTCTGTAGCTCATATGCCTTCCTGTCTTGGTATTTCAGCTACTTCATAATATAGTATGACTTTGTATTTGATAAAAGGTTTCATCAAAGATTTGTATGAAAGGCTATTTAAACAACAGAGAGTAGCTAGCTTTGCTATATCCAAACAACCAAATAGAAAATAAGTATGAAAGATTTCACTTGTAAAAGCAACAAATGCAATGCAATACTTGCTGTTGTTGTTTAAGTTCTGTTGAGTTGGTTCCAAATCTCAGCTATCTGTATAGGGTTTCAGATCCTTCAGTTAGCAATCCACTGCTTATCCTACAGCCCCATACCAGGGCTCCATGCAACACTAAGAAATGCCTACTATTACAGACAGAAATTCTGCTCTTAATAAGACTAGTAAGGAGCTCTGGTAGCGTAGTGGTTACGAATCGGGCTGCGAACCTTAAGGTCAGCGGTTCGAAACTACCAGCTGCTCCGCAGGAGAATGATGAGGCTTTCTACTCCCGTAAAGATTTACACCCTCGGAAACCCTATACAGGGTCGCTATGGGTCGGAACTGACTCGATGGCACTTAACAACAACAACAACAATTAAAAGTAATGGCAGGATTGTTTTGGTAAGTGGAATTCTAACTTTAAAGTTTATAATAAAAATAAAAATAATAGAGAAAAACATAAAAAAAAAAACTAAGAGTAATGAGCTCTACTGGACCAACTCCACTGGAATTGACTTTTAATTTTGTTTTGAATGTCAATGAGGTATAACTGATGTACAATAAACAGTGCATATTTAAAGGATATGAGTTGTGACTACTTAAACCATCACCACATGCCCCTAGGCAATCACTGGTTTTGCTGTAGATTAGTTTGCCTTTTCTAGAATTTTACATAAATTTAATTTCTGTCATTTACCATAGTTATTTTCATATTCTTCCACATTCAAACCCTACCAGCTGCTCCTCTGAAACCCTATACAGGGGTAAGAGACAGAATTGACTTGATGATACTTAACAACAATAATTCTATATATGAGAATAAGTCAAAAGTATTGCTGTGAAATCACAGAAACCTGTATTAAACAAAATGCAAAGCTACTGTTTCTCGACATATCCTCTATCAAAGTCTATATATTTTTGAGCACAGTGTTTCTCTCTCTCAACCCTTCTCTGAAGATTTCTGTGCTCAATTTACTTGTCAAAATGACAGTTTTGGCATCTTTGAAGGACTCAAACCATGTTACTTTTAAATGTCCTTTGAGTTTGCAGAACAAAAATTAGTTTGAATGGGAATCAGGGCTGTATGGTGGATGGGGCTGTATGGGGTAAGGTTTCCCAATGTAATTCTCATAAGATAGCTCTTGCTACCCTGTAAGAATGAGCAGATGCATTGCTGTGATGGAAAAAAAAAAAAATTCCTCAGTGCAACTTTCCTGGCTTTTGTCTTACTTTTCTTAAAACATCTTCCTAACACAAGCCTAAGTGATTGCCCTGTGCACACTGAGAAAATCTGTCAAGATTAGCCCTTGGTGGTGATGGTTATGTGCCCTGGATTCGGTTCCTACTCATAGCAGCCCTGCATAGGGTTTTCGAAGCTGTAAATCTTTACAGAAGCAGAAAGCCTCATATTTTTCCCGTGTAACAGCTGGTAGTTTCGAACTGCTGACCTTGAGGTTAGCAGCCTGACTCATAACCACTACGTTACCAGAGCTCCTTAGATTAGCCCTTAGGATCCCAAAACACAATAGTTGCCATAACCTTGTGAGCTGATCTCTCTGCTTTAAATTTAATAGGCCCATCAGAATCCTTTAGCTTAGTGGTTACGAATCGGGCTGTGAACCGCAATGTCAGCAGTTCAAAACTACCAGCTGTTCCGCGGGAGAAAGAGGAGGCTTTCTGCTCCTGTAAAGATTTACAGCCTCAGAAACCCTGTACAGGGTCACTCTGAGTTGGAACTGACTCCACAGCACATAACAACAACAACAACAACATCAGAATCCCTTGGAAATCAATGTTTTTTATTGGCCCTTGCTCACTGGATTGTATTAGCAAATCCAAAACTCACACCAGGTAATGAATGATTCCTTCCAAAAAATCATCATTAGATTAAAAGAATAATGGAAAGATCAGTTCTTTGAGCTAGCTGCTCTTTACACAATGCTTCTGGCATTCTTCAGAAAGAAAGCTTGCTAAAGCTAAAATGTTCCCTTAAAACCACAATTGCCTAATCAAGATCCCAACTTCAGTAGTTACTGAATTAATGGTAATTCTATGGTCTTCTTCCACCAGCTTGTGGACTTGAGCCACAGTTTCTTCATTCATCAAGGCTGATGGTCTTTCCTGTCTTGGCTTATCTTTGAGGCTTTCCTGATCTTCCCTAAAACACTTTATCCAGTTAAAAATGTGCTTTATGAGGGGTAGCAATTCTGCATATTTGCTGCAAAGTTTCAATGATTTGGGAAGGTGTCTAATTGAGTTTTCTTAAAATTTTTTTTGTCCTGACCTCAAAATTGTGTTTTCCAAGGCACAAAAAGTATTTTTTCAAAGGAATCCTGAGACTAAGGCAAGTGTATTACTGAGTGAACTTGTCTGCAGTCATCCACTGATTGCAGAGACAGGTATAAACATGTTTTGTGTGGAATAATTCCATGCATGTATCGTCTGGAACCCTGGTAGCAATATTTTTTGACTTACCCTCCTATAAAAGTTTGTCTATGGACTTCTGGTAAGATGGCAAACTAGACAGATGCACTACACAGACATTCTACAACAAAGATAGGAGAGACCAAACAAAACAGACACAGATGAAAATCCTGGAACCCTGAACTTCAGAGTTAAAGAAGTGGACTAAGTGCTTGCTGGGAGAAGCTGTGTTGGGATGGCAAGAGAAGGAGACTGACTAGTGAAGGCCAGGCATGGTACAACCATCTTGAACTTCTGTGAGCAGCTTTGGCGATAGAAAGTGGCCTGGCAGAACAGATTCAGACAGACGACAGAATGGAAACAGCCATTGTGCCCATATAGCCCACCCAGCCACAACCATTCCCTCTGCAGCCAGTATCAGCTCCTATACCATCTGATCAATGATAAACAGCAGCTAACATCAGCCAAACTCACCCTAAACTGATGCACACAAACAGAATGGTGCATGTTCTCTAACGACACTCACAGGTGGTGAGAGCATAACAACACATCAACATACAAATATAAAGACCACAATGCCCTGGAACTAAGATGATTTTAGATCACATGAAGAAATAAGAGAATGGCTTTAACAAATGACCAAGATGTAGTGTAAGAAAACATTTCTGGAGAGAAAAAGATAATGGAACTAACTGAAAAATAATTCAAAAGAATTATATTTAGGTACCTTAAAAGAACTGACAGAAAGATCAAGAAAAGCAATGAGAACACAGAAAAAAACGTTAGAAGAATTCAGGAAAATACTACAAGAACAAACAGCCAAAATAAATGCAAATTTTGCTAGTATTAAGTTTTCTGAAATGGACAATACATTGAAAGAGCAAACAAGTAGATTAGAAGCAATGGAAGTGTGCATTAGTGAGCTTGAAGATAAATTTCTTAATAGTACTATGCTAGAAGAACACTCAGAAAAAAGAAAGAAAAAATCCTGAGATATATGAGACACCATGAAGAGTAATAACTTACGAGTGATCAAATTCCAGAACAGGAAGAGACAATAAAGAGTTGTTGGACGAAAACTCCCCTAACATCATGAAAGACAAGAAGACAAGCATATAAGAAGCTGAGTGAACCCCAGACAGGACAGACCCCAAGAGACAGTCACCAAGATAAATCATAATCAAACTTTCAAAAACGAAAGACAAGGAAAGAATACCGAAATTGATGTTACCTACAAAGGAGAACCAACAAGATTAAGCTTGGATTTCTTAATAGAAACCAGGCAGGCAAGAAGACAATGGGATGACATATACAAAGCTCTGAAAGAAAAAAATTGCCAAGTAAGATTCATATATGCAGCAAAGCTGTTTCTCAAATATAACAGCAAAATTAGGAAATTTCTAGAAAACCAGAAATTAAAGGAGTTTGTAATAGTAAGGTGAACTTTACTAAAAATACTAAAAATAAAGGGTGCTTGCTCTTTGGACTGAGAACCAACAACGGCATACAACCTGAGCTTACTATACACAACACCACCCAGATCTCAATCCAGACATGTTGTTGTTGTTAAGTGCCGTCAAGTCAATTCTGACCCACAGTGATCCTGTATAGGGTTTCCAAGGAGCAGCTGGTGAGCTTGAACCACCAACTTTGCAGTTCAAGCAACTTTGCAGTCTGACACATTAGCCTACAGCGCCACACTCCTACACACTGATAATGGTGGTTGGTGTTTGTGTGCCACAATGTCAATTGCGACTCTTAGTGACCCTGTATAGGGGTTTCCGAGCCTGTAAATATTTGCTACCAGGGATCCTGACACAACTGATAATAGTGAACCAAACATATCAATCAATGTATAATGAAGTCAACTACGAAGCAAAAAGAGGGAATAGTGTAAATACAAGTTCTAAATGGCAATTAGATTTCAGGCAATTAGAAGTGAGGTAGATTTCAAGATAAAACAAATTTTCAAATGGGGGGAAAATTAATATATTGCAGGGTAACCTGAAAGAAAATTAACACACCTTCACATCAAAATAAAAAAGTAAATCAGAAAGATTTAGTAAACGTTAACACAACATGAAAATGAAAACCCACAAATAAAATGAACTCATCACAGAAAATTAAGTGGAACAAAAAAACACATAGCTAAATTACAGCAACCAATTCATACCTATTGATAATTACACTGAATGTCAATGAATTCAATGCAGCAGTCAAGAGAGAGAGAGAGAGAGAGAGCACAATGGATAAGCAAACAGCATCCTTCAATATGTGCCTACAAGAGATGCATCAGACAGCTGAAGACTGTCTAAACGCCCATCAACAGAACAGTTAAACTTTGCTACATACACAATGGAATACTACACAACCATGAAGAATAACAATGAATCTGTGAAACACTTTACAACGTGGATAAGCCTGGAGGACATTATGCTGATTCAGTACTTTAGTTAGTCAAAAAAGAACAAATATTGTATGACACCAATGTTGCAAAAAGTTGAGAAAGGGTTTTCCTGATTTAAAAAAAAAAAAAAGCAGCATTCTATGATAGTTATGGAATCTGTGGATTAATGCACTGGGCTGCAAGGTCAGTTTGAATCACAAGGTCGGCAGTTCAAGCTTATCAGCCACTCCTGGGAAACCCTATACAGGATGGCTATGGGTTGGAACTGACTTGATGGCACTTAACAACAACAATGATGGTTATGGAGTCCTGGTGTGATGCTGTAGGATAAGCACTGGACTACCAACCACAAGGATAGCGGTTCAAACTCACTAGCTGCTCCTCTGAAACCTTCTACAGGGTCACTATGAGTTGGAATCAACTAGAAGGCATTTAATAACATGACAGTTGTAAGTATACAATTTGTTGAATGTAAAACTGATGATCTGCTCTGTAAACCACTCAATCACAATAAAAAGCTTAAAAAACAAAACAAAACTCTACCTATCCATTCACCTGTTGAAGGACATTTGGGACATTTCCAGTTTGGAGTTATGTATGATAAGCAAAATTACTATAAATATCTACGTACAAGCTTATTATAGCAATATGTATAATGGCAAATACCTGGAAACAACATAAATGCTAGCAACTGACATTATCATCTGACTTCTATCAATCCAAGTTTGTATTACTTTTGTAACTGAAAAAAGTTAAAGAGAAAAATCATAACAGAAATACAGCACTAACCTGAAGCCATCCTCTTTCTCTTTTTCTTGTTCCATTCCCTCTTCCTTTCAGTAAGTCTTGCTTCTTTTTTCTCTTCATTTTGGAGCTCTTGGTATGTTCTAGATGCCCCACATTCACCTGGGTCAGACTTCTTGTTTCCAAAAAAGTCAATTCCCTGAAGTGCCTCTGAAGAATTAAAGTCATATTTCCTTTTTCCTAGCTAAAACCCAAAAAAATTTAAAATAAAATCAACTGACAAAATGGCATTGCTTTCACACATGCAAGACTGTCAGTAAGAGACACATAAACTCACTGCTGTGCTTGTGTTTTAAAATATATTTACCAAATATTTGTTATCAAATATAAGTGGGAAAATGGAATCCAAGAAACTAACTTTTCTGACCTAATAACATTAACAATACTGCTAACTCTTATGTCACATATATAATTATTATTTCTAAACACATGGGTATGTGAGCCTATTGCAACTTTACAACCCACCCAATGCAGCAAACAACATTACTACATGAAAAAATCAAGGCATGGTAGTGGTGGTTATGTTCCATGGAGATGGTTCTGACTTACAGTGACCCTGTATAGGAGTTTCAGGGCTATCAATCTTTATGTTGCTGTTAAGTGCCATCAAGTCAGTTGCGATCCACAGTGACCCTGTATAGGATTTCCAAGGAGCAGCTGGGGAGCTTGAACTTGCAACCTTGTTGTTCAACCTTGTGGTTCAAACTGAGTCCTGGTATGGCACTGTGGGTTAATGCGCTGGACTGCAAGGTTGGCAGTTCAAACTCACCAGCTGCTCCTTAGGAAACCTATACAGTGGTCGCTACAGGTTGGAACCGACTCAATGACAATTAACAACAAAATCTTTATGAGAGTGGAAAGCCTCATCTTTCTCCTTTGAGGGGCTGGTTGATTCAAACTGTTGATTCTGTGATTAGAAGCCCAACTCATAACCCACTACAATACTGAGCTCCAGGCATAGAGAGGTTAAACAATCCATCCAAATTTTCAAAACTAGTAATCAGCAGACCCAGAATTCAAAATTTTAACAATACTGAGTCCTTGTGTGGGACTGTAGGATAAAGCACTGGATTGCATGGTCAGTTTGAACCGCTAGGTTGGTGGTTCAAACTCACCAGCGACTCCTTGGGAACCCTATACAGGGTCGTTCTCAGTAGGAACCGACTCGACTGCACTTAACAAGGAATTCCCAATGATGCTAACTGCAGGTCTGTGGTCAAACCCACCATCGCCATGAATCGGAACCGACTCGAAGGCACTTCACAACATTTCCCTGTTTTCTTTTCATTGGTTACTTAATGAAAAGAAAAATTATATTAAAGAATTATATTCAATAAAACTTTTTGCATACCAAACCACTGTATAGAATACAGTGAAAAAAAAATCTATATTTTCCATTTTTAGTTCAAATTAAAAAATTCCTTTTCACCAGTTCCGGAGAAAAAGCTCGATAAAGCTCGTGTTGAAAAATTTCAACTTGGCCTTGAAATAAGCAAAGATGGTTGGAAAGGGGTATTTTCTACCCAGACTCAATTAAATCTACAGGAAAAAAATCGGAAAAAGTTCATTCAGAAAAAGGGACTTAAACCGGTTAAACCCGCTGTTAAACAAAACTCCAAAGTCCTCAAGAAAGTGTCAGAGCCAGGCCACTGGGTTCTCAAGGAACACCGACTCCCCAAACGGCGGGTTCATTCTTGAGCCCCTATTCCTGCAGTTACTTAACTCTTCAGACTATCTCGTCTGCTTACAGTACCTGAAATCGGGCTGCGTCTGCCGAGAAGCGACTCACATCGAATTTGGCCCCCGCGCCAAGCCGGCGAAAGAGATCGTGCATGTCCATCTTTACCCAGAAAGCCTCGCGACCCAACAGCGCCTGCGCAGAGGATTTTCTTTCCCTGACAGTCTCCTGCCACGCCGTGGGCGGGATTCACTCAGGGAGGCGGAGCCTGACTATGTTGAGAGAGTCGCGAGATTTAAAGGCCTTGTTGTGGTTGTGTGCTGTTGAATTGGTTTTGACTCTTAACGACCCTGTAGAGTTTCCAAGAAAGGCTAGGGGGTTTGAGCTGCCAACCTGTGATTAGCAGTCCAGTGCGGATCCTACAGAGCCACACCAGGGCCCTAGCTTATTTATTTATCCTCTCTTTCACGCAGTAATTATTGGGCACACTTCCAGACTTTCAGGGGATGCTTTCGTGAGCAACGCCTTAAGATCTTTCTCCTCAGGAAGCTTACATTCTAGTAGGGACGAAGAAACAAGATAATCTTCGGAAATGAAAATTCTATTAAATGTTGTGCAGTGCCGTCGAGTCGGTTCTGACCCATAGAAACCCTGTCTAGGGTTCTCAAGGAGCGGCTGGTGAGCTTGAACCGCCGACAACACGGTAATTGATAAAGAGGCCTACTTTTAAATAGATTAGTAAAATTCACTCTGAGGATATATTTGAGCTAAGACTTGAATAGTGAGAAAAAGGCCGTCTTTCTAAGATCTGGAGAAGAGCGTTCTGGATGGAGGAAGCCTGTGCCTGAAGGAGGGAAAGGGTTTGTTTCAATAAGGGAATGGAAAGGTCAGGGCGGCTGGATTCAGTTCCAGTGAGGAAGAGGGGTACAGATAGTACCTTAGTTATCTAGTGCTGGTGTAACAGTAATGCAAGTAAATGACTTTAACAAACAAATTGGCCCGTTCACAGTGCAGGGGCTAGGAGTCCGAATTCACAGACTCAGCGTGCTGGCTTGGGAGAAAGATCCCTGTCTCCTTTCAGCATCTGTAAGGACCAACATTCCTTGGCGATCGCCATGCGTCTTGGCATTAATATTTCCTTGGATCTAGAAGCTTCATAAGTTCCGGGACCTCAGGTCCAAAGGACACACTGCACACCTGACTCTTCTTTCTTGTTGGTAACATGTCCCTGTAACCTTTGTTTGCCGGTTTAATCTCTTTTATATCTCAAAAGAGATTGACTCAAGATACACCTCAATCCTGTAGATTGACCTCATGAACATCATTGGTTGGTTGGTTGGTTGTGTGCCATCGATTTGGTTCTGACCCATAGCAACCCTGTATAGGGTTTCAGAAGCTGTAAAACTTTATGGGAACAGAAAACCTCATCTTTGTCCTGAGGAGCAGCTGGTAGATTTGAACTGCTGACCTTTCAGTTAGTAGTCCAAAGCATACCCCTTAGGAACTAGGGTTTACAATATGTAGGGTAATTTTATCAGATTAGGGTTGATCACATCATAGTGTGACTACATTATATTAGATCTCATCATAAGGGATTATTACATTTTAACTTCCAGGCCCGGTGAAGTTGACACAAAACCCTAACTATCATAGATAGGTTGAAGGGACAAACAGAAACCAGGTCTCATAGCACCTTAAAACAAGGTCATAGTAAGGAATTTGGATTTTAATCTAAGCATAATAGGAAGCTATTTTAAATGTTTTAGCTAAAGAGTAACATGAATTTGTTTATCAACCTTTATTTTTATTTTCACGATACCTTCAATCCCTCACAGTTTCTCCACCTGGGCACATTAAGCTCTCTTGGGCTCATTTCCTCTTTTGTAAAATGAGAATAATATAATAATAGGATAATTGAGATTGTTCTGACAATTATTATAGCCTCCTAAACTTTGATGTGTAGAGGAAAGAACGTGCGTTTTAAGGCTTTAGAAAGATTTAGGTTGAATTCATTTGTGTCATTTAATAATTAGATAATCTTGGGTGGCTTATTTTACTGATTTGTGTCCCTGTTTTCTTGTTAGTAAGCTAGGGATTATAACACTTTGAAGACTAAGATTAACGTGATTGTTTATCATACAGTGTTAGAAACGGTTGAGGTGGGTCAGGATACTAGCTATATCTAATCATACAAACCTTATACATTGTAGTTATTAGAGCATTTGGAACAAAATCTCAATCATAGTGGATGCTTAATCAATATTAGTTATTTTTCATCCCCTGAGGAGCTTAAAACAAAACAAAATGGAAACCATCCCCAAGAAATTCTTGCTTAATTGGCTTGGAGTGACTTTCTGGCCTTTGCGTTTTTTAAGCTTCTGAAGTGATTCTAACTGGAGTCAGGGTTAGGAATCGCTGCTGAAATACTTTCCTAAAGTTCACATGGAACCCTGTTGTTTCTCTGCTTAACAGTCTCTATGGCTTTGCCTACTGAGTGCAGTCTTAGTGGCTGTAACTTGTATGTTATTGTAGTTAGTTTCCATGCAGTCATTTCCAACTCATGGCAACTCCATACGTGCAGGGTAGAATTGTCCCATAGGGATACAGATTGTCAGGCCTGTCTTCAGAGACACCAATGGGTCTTTTCAAACCACCAGCATTTTGGCTTGCAGTTGAGTGCTTAACCATTTATGTGATTCCAGGAGTCCTGTCACTTATATACCAGGTTTTATAAATTGTGGTTCTTAATCCTTTCTCTGCTTCAGTATTTGAAGAAATAAGGCACACTCCCATACATAACTTCAGCTTGGAATGGAAGATATGGAGAGGAATGTAAGAGTTCAGGTGAATATTGTTACCTTATAGTCCATGGATTCCTAGCGTGGTGCTGTAGGTGAAGCAGTGGACTGCAAACCAAAAGGTTGGCAGTTCAAATCTGCCAGCTGTCCCTTGGAAACCCTGTACAGGGTCGCCATCAGTCAGAATTAACTTGACAGCACTTAATAACAACAATGGTCCATGGAAGGATTGTAATCATTGAATGAAACAAGTATGTGATACTTTGAATGTAAAACTGATGATTTGTACAGTTGGTTTCCTATATACTAGTAAAAACAACTCTGAAAAGGAAATTAAGAAAACAATACTATTTACAATCGCCACCCAAAAGATGAAATACTTAGTGATAAATCTAACCAGAGAAACAAAATAGCTATGCAAAGAAAATGACAAAACACTACTAAAAGAAACCCCCTGAAAAAAAAATTAACAAAAATGGAATAATATACCATGCCCATGGATAGGAAGACTTAATATTGTGGGAAAAAAACATCAACACTATCCAAAACAACCTATAGATATAATATAATACCAATCTAAACTGCAACATCATTCTTTAAAGAGATAAAATAAATGATCAGTAACTTTATATGGACTCCTGGTGTGGTGCTGTAGGATCAGCACTGAACTGTGATTCACAAGGTTGGCAGTTCAAACCCACCAGCCACTATTCGGAAACCCTATATGGGGTCATTATGAGTTGGAACTGACTCGATGCCACTTAACAACAACAACTTTATATGGAAAGACACCTTGGATAAGCGGAGCACTGCCTAAGAAGAAAAACTAAGTTGGAGGCCACTTACTCCCTGATCTCAAAATTTACTGTGCAGCTACAGTGTTCAAAACAGTCTGGTACTGGTATAACAAAAGATATATAAATCAGTGAAACAGAATTGAGAACCCATAAGTAAATTCATCCACATGCCATCAGCTGATATCTGACAAAGGGCCAAAGCACATTAAATGGGGAAGAGATTGTCTCTTCCACAAATGGTGCTTTCAAAATTAGGAATCCATTGCAGAAGAATGAAACAAGATCCATATCTCATACTATATGCAAAACAAACAATGTGGACTAAAGACCTGAATGTAAAACCTAGAACTATGAAGCTCATCAATGAAAAAATAAGGATGAATTTAGGGACTCTAATACATGGCATAAATTGCTATTTAACACTACTAATACACACAAACAGCAGAAGACAGAATAGATGACTGGCACCTCCTAAAAAGTACACACTATGTACATTAAAAGGTTCACCAAAAGAGTAAAAAGGGAGCCAACAGAAAATTTTCTTTTTTGCAATGACATATCAGACAGGGACTAATCTTTAAAATTTATCAAAAACTATAACACCTCTACAAGAAAAGACAAACAACCCAATGAAAATTGGGCACAGGACATGAACAGACACTTCACCAAAGAAGACAGGCAGCACACAAACATGAAGAAATGCTCACGATCATTAGCCATTAGAGAGATGCAAATCAAAACAATAATGAAATATCATCTCACATCATCATTAATTGTTGTTAGGTGCCATCGAGTCAGTACTGACTCATAGTGACCCTATGCACAAGAGAACAAAACACTGCCTGATTCTGGGCCAACTTCACAATGGTTGTCATGCTTGAGCCCATTGATGATGCCACTTTGCCAATCCATCTCCCTAGGGTCTTCCTCTTTTTTTGTGATCCTCCACCTTACCAAACATGATATCCTTCTCCAGCGACTGCTCCCTCCTGACAATATGTCCAAGTATGAGAGACGAAGTTTGGCCATATTGGCCTCCAAGGAGCACTCTGGCTGCACTTCTTCCAACACAGATCTGTTGGTTCTTTTGGCAGCCCATGGTACTTTCAATATTCTCCAACACCATAACTCAAAAGCATCAATTCTTCTACGGTCTTCTTTATTCATCATCCAGCTTTTGCATGCATATGAGGTTATTGAAAATACCATGGCTTGGGTCAGGCGCACCTTAGTCCTGAAGCTGACATCTTTGCTCTTCAACACTTAGACATTAGAGAAATGCAAGTCAAAACAACAGTGAAATATCATCTCACACCAGCATTAATAGTAGTTAATTGCTGTAGTTACTGTGCCTGGCATGGACTAAGGCCTAGTCCCTGTTCTTAGTTAACTTAAAGTCTGCTAGGGGTAGAAGGCTCTTTTTAAACAAAGCAAAATAGTTCTCTATGTACTGTAGTCTAAACTACAGGAAGTGAGAAAGTGGTCACTCTGGTGGCAGACTTTGGTGGGTTTTGTAAAAAGTTAGGAAAGGATTTGTAAACCTAAACATAGCCTTCAAATACAAGAT